CGATCATCCTTTGCGCGCCCAAGGCGCGCTCAAACTAGCGAGCGAAGCGCGTGATGAGAATGTGGCCGCCCCCGCAGGGGGCTGCCGGATTTTTTTTATTATTTTTACGTTAAGTCAAGAACAGCACTATGCTTTGCATCCTATTTTATCAAGTCTTGAATATTATAACCCGAAATCATTATTTATTTCAGAGAAAGTTGGAATCCACAAAAAAACGTCCTTTGCCCACATGGCCTTAAACGGAAATATTGGTAAAAAAAAATGTATTATTTTATCAAAAAAATTAATATATTAATCAAAACTTTTGGTAATTATAACGGTAATATTGGTGAAAAAATGTATTATTTAATCAAAAATATTGATGAAAATTTATCTTTTTTATCAAAAATATTCGTGACAAAATGAATTATTTTTTCAAAAATATGGCTAATGAAAGATTAATTTTTATTTATTTATTTACTACAATAGTGAATTTTTTAAAAAAAATATTTATGAAAAAAATAATTGTTTTATCAAAAATATTAATTTTTTGGAGAAAATAATACATTTTTTCACCATTATTTCCGTTTAGAATTAATTTTTTTCAACTTTGTTTGATAAAAAAAAATTTTCATCGATATTTTTGAATAAATAATAAATTTTTGTCACAAATATTTCCGTTTGAAATTAATTTTTTTCAACTTTGTTTGATAAAAAGATTTGTTTTTTTACTAATATTTTGATTAATATATTAATTTTTTCAACTTTTTTTTGATAAAAAAATTTATTTTTTTCACCAATATTTTTTATAAAAATATTAATTTTTTTGATAAAATAATACATTTTTTACAAATATTTCCGTTTAACAAATAAAAGTTTTGCTTTTGATAAAAAAAATACACAAAAAATTTAAAGAAATGAAAAAAGTGCTGCCACCTACCTGCTAAAAAGTGCGGCTGTATTGATTTTATCGACAAATGTTGATAATAAATTGTAATAGATTGAAATTAATAAAAACATTAAATTTTTATGATTATTTAACAATAATCATCTTAAAATGCATAAAACTTATTGATTATAACAATTGTACTATCAATTTCATCATTTTTTTAATACATTTTGGACAGAATTTCAATCTCAGTCTCGTGTTCCACGAATGCTCTGCGAATTTCATGGGGCATTCTCATCATACAATCCGCCATTGGAGAAATGGCAAACGAAAGAAATAATATGTCTGACTAATTACTTCGTCACATAATATTTTGTTGTATAAATAATGATTCAGTTTTAGATACTTCTTCGAGTAGCTGTTCTTCCTTAGAGTAATTCCACGTGAACTGATCGATTATTTTTTAGTGTTGTTAGCAATTTTTATGAAACTTTTTTTCTTGTAGTGTGAAGGGTACTAAGTGATAAAGTGAAGATGATTTTCAAAATTTAAAAATTTTTCTTAAAATTTTTTACACGTCAGTCGAAAACTGCTTGGGAACACTTCAGGGGAAGTGGGTAGAATTTAGGTTATGACTGACGCCAGTTTCGTACTTGTGATTTTTAAATTTAAGGTGTATTCAGTGCCCCACTAGTGAAAATCCCCTAGATAAAATTCACATTATTGCGTAAGGCACTTCATACGGCCCTAATTGTAAGTGTTTTTATTTATGAGCGATAAAAATCGCGTCAATCGAGAACGGCATTCGTCTGTTCTCGATTGACGTTTTAGTGTATAAGAAAAGATCGCCGTGGCGCTCCCGGCTTTAGAATAGGGCGCCTGTAGTCCACTGCATGTCGTAAAAGGCGACTAAAATGGGTGCGGAGGGTTGTACCCATCTAAGTACCGCTTCGATGGAGACGCTGAGATGGGACATTACCGATGATGTATGAACGCACTACGCCTGTCAGGTGTTCACCATGTGAAATGGGACCCTCCCCGTGCAAGGTGGCCGTGGAAGTCCGGCCGGAGAATTTGTTTTCCCGTATCCCATCGCGTGTCGTACGAGGGGACTAAAGAGGGAAATTTGAACGCAGTACGCCTCCTCGTCCGGAGGCAGGGTGAGACCGTTGTGGTTTCAGACTGCGGTCTGACACTTTGTTCTGGGCGCAGATGTTCCACGTGGTCCCCGTTGGAAGTGCAGGATTCTTGTCCTCGCTAACTCACGCACACACCTGTTGGGGTGTTATCGGGTCCAAGATGAATGTTACTAACCGTTCCGCCATTTCATTGGGCACCCTATTGTATGAGTGTGTGTGTGAATGAGTGTGTGTGACCTACCAGACCATCGGTGGGTGGAGCTTAGCTCGGAGACGGAACCTTCACGAGGTCCCCGCTGGGTACTTTGATTCCCTTCTTCCGCTCAAGTTCTACTTGCACGGGCGAAGGGAATCAATGCTAACCGTCTCCTCCTGGAAGGGCACCCGGTCTTCTTCGTTGTTTTAGTCCTTAAGGACCTTACAACGGCCATTTTTCCCTCCTCTTTCCCCATGGTGCATCGGTAACGAGGCGGCATGCCAAATCGCCACCGTTTCAAAATGCCGGTAGTTCTATCGCTAGGGAATAGATATGTTTATTTTAAGATCGGGAGTTATAGTCCTTAAGGACCCAGGCCTCCCAGTCGGCCTCGAGCACGACGATAAGCGCAATTCTTTATAAGAAAAGAAAGTTTCATAAAAATTGCTAACAACACTAAACAATAATCGATCTGTTAACGTGAAATTGCTCAATTAAACTACCTTTGTAACGTTTTCCTTACTTACAATAAACGATTTACTGTGACTCAATTCGGTGGACGACGTTGTTGGCTGCAACTTTCAACTGAGAGATAAACAGACACCGATAATCCCAATATAATTATATTTATTGATCATATTCCACTTTATATACTCGATATTTAATCGAACACTCTAATGCGATTCTTATAACTTCACAAATCGCCAACAGACAAGTGTCTTCCATGACAGTCCGAATTGATCTGACAATCGATCACCGCGCGCCCTCTTCCTTCCTTCCAGCTGGTCCCTGTTCCGTGAGATTCCGGAAATATTCAGATTTCCCATTTCTTCCAATGGACTAAACGATCACCTAAGTCAAGAAAGAAAAAAAGGAATAACGTGACACAATAAATATTCAAATTCTAAAGAATATTTATTATAACGAATTTTTCATTATTGAGAGGTGAGAGAGAATCACTAAATCTTGTTCCGTTTTATCAAGTTCCATGAAATTCAACCTGCAAAATAATATGTGTTATAAAAATAAAACCCATGAATCTTTTTAGTAAAAATTATCCATAACATAAATAGAAAATTATTTTAATACTGATAACAGTAAAATTAATTTTCTAAGATATAATAAAAGACGAAAGAGACATTGTAAAAGAAAAAACTCCAAAGAATTCGAGGACCGCATGCAAATTACACATTTTTTTGTTGTTTATCAAGAGACATTAAAAATAAAATAAAATTGAGTTATTTGAATAACTTTCCTTGCTTGTTTTATTTTAATTTGTAAAAGGTATTTTTGAAAAAATTCTTTTCCTTCATCGCTGAGGTACGGTGTTGATTTTTGATCGTCATTAATTTTTGTTTTCGTAATTCCGACCATTGGGATAAATCTTTTTGAAGCTCTTCCATCTTAATAATTAAATTTAACTGAAATGTTTGTGCACTTTCTTCTAAATAATTTTCAAAAACTTGAACTTCCTTGTTGGGAAAATATTTAATCATTCGAGCTTCAGAAATTTTTATCCCTTTTGGTTTTTGCAAGCAGTTTTCAAAAGCTTTTTCGTAATCGATTAAAAGATCTTTTGAATTTTCAACTACAGTAAAAGGAGGTTCTCGTGCATTTTTAATTAAATCGAAATATTTTTTGCTGTCTCCATTCACTCCATTTTTTTCCTTTTTCTCTACGTAAATCCCAAAATTACGATCGCACTGACAGTACGAATGTCTGCGAATTGGAAAAACATGCAAAATCTCTATATTTAATTTGTTTGACAAAAAAAAAGTAAAAACACAGTAATTACGGTTTTGACTACCCGCAGCATCCGAAAACAAAATAATTTTTGAATGGCAAGATTTATCAAATTCGAGAATAATCGCATATTCCAAAAAAACTACAAATTGTATTTGCACCCCTTTTTGGCGTAATCCTCAAGAAATGGGAACATATAACTATTGCTGTGTTATGAATGTGAACGTTGAAAACCCACTTGGAAAGATTCCCCGGAAAGTGCCCCCTGGAGGTTATATCAGAATTCCGCCGGAACATCCAACGTAATTCCGTCGGAATTCCAAAGAATTTCCGATGGGATTCCGAAGGAATTCCGATTAATTTTTTTCAAAATGTTTAGAGTCCTAATTCCGTCGGATTCCCATCGGAAATTCTTTAGAACTCCGATGGAATTACGTTGGAAGTTCCGGCGGAATTCTGATAGAACCTCCAGGGGGCACTTACCGGAGAATCTTTCCAAGTGGGAAGGTAAAAATAAAGTTTTCTTTTATAAAATTGTTCACTGAAAAGCAGTTTAGGCAACATCAAATTTTACGCATAGTCGAATTCGCAGTTAGTTTCTCTCATGAATTAAAACTTGTTAGGCGGAAAATTAAAATTAAATTTTGCATGTTTATTAGGGTGGATATTAAAATGGTCATTTTTTAATTCGATTCATTCTATCCCTTAATTCGATAGGATATATAAAAAAATTCACATAGAATTGAATACAATTTAATGAAATAATAATCATGTACATAGGCTTTAGTGTACATGTGTGTACAAGAGATTTATAAGGTTTTTTAATTTGTAGAATTCTTAAAAGATTCTGAAACATTAAATAATCCATTTATCCAAACCCACATAAAATTAATATTTAAATGTAAGCCGCTACAGACACTTTCTTATTAAGAGATAGGGTTCAATTTTATGTGAAAATTGTTATTTTTTTATTTCCTATCGAATTAGGGAGTGGATTGAATCGAATTTAAAAATTACCAATTTAATTGCCACTAATGTTTATAAATTAAAATAGATTACGATTTACCATGGGAGGAATACGATACCTATCCAAGCAATCTTGCTTCACCCCTTGAAATCATTGTGGAAGCCAGTAATGGTGCTTCTGATTATGGAAACAAGTTTGGAGAACCTGTTATTTCTGGATTCGCAAGAACTTTTGGAATGAAGAACTTAGGTGGAGAAAGACGCGAATGGATTAAACCAATTATGTTCAGCGGTGGAATGGGAAGTATGGACTCCAGTATGACTAAAAAATTGACACCAGAAAAAGGTTTTTATCTTTGTAATAATACATTAGTTTTTAAATTTTTGTGCGTTTTATGTATTAATCAAAAAACATTACTTTATGATTTTTTTATCTGTGCGAGGAAATTAAGATATTCCTAGGATGTCCTGAGAACATTCTAATGATATCTTAATTTCTGGATACTTCTAGGACCCCTGTAGAATATTTTGAAATATTAATTGTTGTGAGGGTAAGAATTTAATTTTTTAAATAACATATTAATTCATATTTTAGGCATGAAAGTTGTGAAAATTGGTGGTCCTGTATACAGGATTGGAGTCGGCGGTGGTGCAGCAAGTTCTGTTGAGGTAAATATGTTACCTTATTTACTTTTTCGCATGTAATTCACTTGTTTTATTCGTTCAGTAACTTGAGAAACTTCAAGTTACCTCAAGATTATGGCTTTTCAATCAGGAAGTTATTCTGTGGAGTCCATCTAAGATGAACGTGATATTTCTTTCTCCAATAATTAAAAATAAGGTTCTTTATTCTGCCCTCTAAAGTTATAGAATGCTTTGATTTGTTATTTCTTCCCTTACTATTATCATATACATACAAATAACTAATTGATGGAAAGTTATAATTAGATTTTATTAAATGAAATAATAAGGAATACACACTTTACTAGGAATAAAATTCATTAACTTCTGCAATCTCAGAAGTTTTAGTTTCCACTTCTACCAGTTCCTGGACAATGTTGACTTTTTGTGCTCTTAAGGCCTTTCTCCAATATGTTCCTAAATGTTTGGGTTGCGTGACTGACACGTTGGTTCGCAAGCGCAGTGACGTCGTCAAAGCATTAATACCAATCGCGAACAAAAAGTTTGGTTTATGTTCCTCTTATCCATATCTTCCAACTTTACAATTTTTAATACAAATGTTTCTCGACGGCTTTTAATAATTTTAATTATTTAATATTTTTAAATAAAAAATCCAGTGACTTTAAATCATTAACCAAACTTTTTGTTCGCGATTGGTATCAATGCTCTGATGACGTCACTGCGCTTGCGAACCAACGCGTCAGTCACGCAGCGTAAACATTTAGGAACATATTGGAGAAAGGTCTTTACTAACATTCGCACGGCTAACTCTACATCTATTCCGTCCATATAAATTGTCGGACGATATTGATTAATGATGGCTTAACTTAACTTTTGAGTTCTTTGAACGTTTCGGAGTCGATTTCACACTCTCTTCTGCACATAGTCTATACGTTCCCTTTTTATAATTTAAAAATCATCCCCATAAGCATTCTCATTGAGAATTGATGCAAAAGTCTTGGAATCGCCATGGCCTATGTAATTGCTTTTTTTTACGCCATACCCTTCTTTTGATCACAAAAACATCTTTTTTAGATTCCACTTCCATTTCTCCTGCAGATCTTTCATGATTTTTGGTACATTTTTCGTCGCCATGGTTTTCTTTCCATTCTAAATATAGAGAATTCTTGGATTTATTCTTCCCTTGTCCATAAGCATGACAGTAACTGCTTCGCACGTCCAGGTCGATTAGTATTATATGCGATACGGGTTGTTACTCCAAACAAAGATTTAATTCGTCTTTTTTTCCAGGTAACGTCTCCAGACACTTTGAAATTCGAAATCGGTATTCATTTTTTGTTTTCTTCTCCAACAACTTTTTTACAATGATAATCAAAAACTGTCTTAGAAGCAGCCTAAGGGCTAAATTACATTTTGATGTAAATGCAGAATGCAAAACCGAAAATAATAAAAGTGAAAAGGATAGTGATATATCCTTTTCCTTTTCACTCTCATTATTTTCGATTTTGCATTCTGCATTTACATCAACATGTAATTCCAACTTAAGAGTCGCATGACAAATACTATTTTGCGATTTATTAAGAACATGAATTTATATATCTAAATCCAGTTACACTTGACAACGAGTTTGAAATCAACACCACAGATTCCAGTTTCTTTAAACCAGGATTACATTTTGCTTGCATTTTTCACAAAATAATGTCTGATAATACTGAAAACAAAATAAAAAATTCAACAATTCGATAAAAATGCAATGGATTAACAATCACATTTTCACTCATAGCACTGGAGAGTTTTATAGAACTAACACTTTGACCTTTCCTATTATCACTCTGACTTTTATTGTGCAGGTTCACATGAAAGGGTCTAGGGGGATAAGTATACAAAAGTTGCCCCCAGACATATTTGGTTCATACTGGCACCATGAATTCCTACCCATAAAATTCTGCAAGTGTGTACCTTCTACCTGCTTTTTGTAGGTGTTATGGAGGGGGAAAAATCAAAAGAAAAACTTATTTTTCTCGAAAGCTACTGAACCGATATTAATAAAATTTAAACATGTTATAAATATGAGTAACACAAGTAGAAAAAAAACTTCTTAACATTTTTTTTTCAAAACTACAATACGAAAAACTGTTCTGTTTTCATTAACGCATTTGCATGTGTTGTCCAGAATTCCTGAAACACCATCGGTATTAGGCTTACATTTTACAAAGCATTTTTATGACGTGCGAGACTCATAACGAAATGGAACTTTTAATTTCAGCATATTACTTTGTTCTTTAACGTATTCAATTTTTACATTTCCATTAGTGTCAACCATTTCAGCTAAATAAAAAATCGATTGGGTGAGTTCGTATGAACCAGTAAACAAAATTTTTAAATCTCGTTCTGTCATTTCAGGGAAGTCTTCAAGATCTTCTGAAGAAATACTTTTAAAATGTACCGTGCGTCGAAGCCACCTGTTTTCCTCTACCTCTTGCAAAAATATTTTCTTTACCTTTTTGGCTGTGCATCCTTTAGAGAACTTCATCAGAAATGTCAATATCAGAAAGAAACCTTTTTCCAAACATGTTGTTAAGAAATGCTGCTATTTTAAAGTAAATTCCAACTTTTAGAATTAGTTTCTTATCAATTTTATGATCTAAAAGGTGATGTTTGTGTTTCATTATACCGGCACACAAGACAATTTTACTGACAAAACGAGAGTCATTGGATTCTTCTGTTGACAATTGTTTTCTTTTTCCTTTTAACGCTGGCATTAAAACACTGAAATTATCTGCTTCTAATTTATCTAAATAATTCTAATTTGGATCTTTCATTACCTCTTCTAAAATTGTAGCATCATTCTAGTTTGCAAAAAATGGCCCAAGTATGTCAACAACAAAGCCGTCAGTTGTGTATATAGTGAACGGTCTACACCGAGGAAAATTTTTCTGACCAGAAAAAGATTTTCTCTGATATTCGCTGTTAGTACCTTTCTGATGTCAAGTGTATGCACCGTCACAAATCAGAAACAATTTATCATTAGCATTTACAATTTTTTGGTATTTCAGTAGTGTGATTCTGAATAAGCTCTTCTCCATTTACAGAATGAATACCAAAACAAGTTGGTAAAACGTCAATTTGGAAAGACTATTAAAAAAGAGCAATAATCATAAACATCGTGCTCGTCTTTTAATTTAAAAATAGAAGTTATCATTCTATTAGAGTTTACAGTTCTTAGTCTAAATAAGAAAATGACAAGCGCTTGAATTACGGATAGATTTTCGGTGTTTCGTAGAAAATTTAACATGTCTTTTAAGCGTTTCAATTCTTCCCAATTTAATCCAGTAAATATTTCTATTTTTGAAAAAAAATTTTAAAAATTTTTCTCCACTTGTTTCACTTATATTTATAACATTTAAATTATATTAAAATCGATTCAGTAGTTTTCGTGAAAAATGAGTTTTTTGATTTTTCTTTTCGCCTCCATAACTCCCATAAAAAAGCAGGTAGAAGGTTTAGACTTTCAGGATTTTTTACTTATATTGGTAGGAATATATGGTGTCAATATGAGCCAAATATGTACGGGGTCAACTTTTGTAAGGATCTTCTACAATACCTCCGAAAGACAAGTCCAACTCCAAGTGCCTTGAAGTTGGATGCGCGCGCATAGTGTTACCAACTGTCACTGAGTTGAAAGAGGACAGTATATTTGCTCCATTAGTAAGAAAAGTTCATACAAATGTAGCAAAATAGTCTTTCATTCTATAGGTAAAGCCTTGATTTTTCTCTCCGAGTACAAGGACAATTTTCCCGTTTTTGTCCTTTATTGATTTATTATTTCCTTTCATTTTTGAAGACAAATCTCTATAATTCTCTTCAACTCTCGAAGAAAGAATACAATCAATATTCTCCAGTTTTGAGCAATCTTCGCATAAAAACGGCTCTACGTTTTCGGCATTTCCAAATTCGTATAACTGGCAACACAACTTTGTATTTTTGGTAGGTAGAATCTCTGTAAAGTATCAATTTTAAAAATAAAATGGCACTATTTTAAACAATGTTGCTACGGTCCTGCAAAATGAGGAAACGTTCTGATTTCCTTTTAAGGGGTTTCCTAAATTTTTTTGCCCTAAAATAGAAGGTTTTTAAAAGATCGTGTACTCATAAGTTTTAAAATATAATTGATCAAAAGTTTTTACATGTTACTATATACGTCAAGAACTATTCAAAAAAAATTGCGATCTTAAAAAATATTATTATGCTCCTTCTACAGAGGTCGCTATGTACACTGGTCAAAATCAAGGTCCTTTACGGTAACCCCTGTAGCTCATCGCAGAATCATCTAAAATAAAAAAATCAAACGTGATTTTAAAGTTTATGACCTAATACAGGTCCTAAACTTCGAGATATTAAAAAAAATCAAAAATTAAAAAAATGGCAAGCTTTGGAACCCAAAAAACTGAAAAAACACCATTTTTTTGACAATCAATCACTCACAAAAACCTGATTATTGAATATTTTAAATATATTAGAGGTTTAGGACCTGCAAAAACTTCCACTGAATCGAATGCAACTTGAATTTTTGAAATCGGTCAAACGGTTTTTGAGTTCTACTGGTTACCATTTTTAAATATAGTGTTTTGAGAAAAAAGCGTTTAAAGTTTTGATATCAAAAGGTTATAATGAGTCAAGCAGAAGTAACTAAATCAGCTTGAAAATTCTTACTCAGGGGTTTTTGGGGTCGCTGATTACGAATATGATGTCAGAATTTAAAAATTCAAAATGGCGGATCCAATATGGCGGACGAAAATTTTAAAACTAATCGGATTTGCTCGAAAATGATGAAATGATATGAATATGATGAATTGTCCGTACTGGGTCCATGACCATGTCGGGTTTATTATCAGCAAACCAAAAAACCTTCTTTATATTTAAATTTTCGAATTCTGTCATCATATTCGTAATCAGCGACCCCATAAATCCTTTGAGTAAGAATTTTGAGCCAATCCAAGCATTTTTGCTTCCTCGTGGAGGAAGCT